GATAAATATATAACACGAATTCAGGCCTGACGCTGACTGTGCAAGACACGCGTGCCAAGTGGGTCCCCTGCAACATGAATGAACCAATCATTTTGTCCCGTCCGTCCATGCAAGCATCAATGTCGGTCAAGCCACCGGGAGTGGTGGCTCCGGTCATCTCTTTTGGTTGGTCAAAACCCCTAACCTGTGAAAATCAAACACAACAAGAACAAAAACGACCCTACCCCCATAATTTAGGGTCTAAAAATTCAATGGTGATATTCATTTGGCGTGAAAGTTCCTAGGTTATGAGTTGCAAAGGTTCCAGTTCATGATGCCCTAATAATGGAATCACACGATTCAGGCCCCAAAGTTCTCAGGCGACACATCCAACCTGTTCTAATGGACATCCTCGACATAAATCAAACCATTAAACACATCAACAATGCATCAATTTTAGTTTCAAATATAACAAACCTTGCTTGACCGGTGACACATGATCACACTAATTTAGGGTGCTATGTGCTTCCAAAATGGAAGAGATAGACTCCTGAGACTCTCAGGAGAGTGGTGGAACACTTAAATCTGTATGAGAATGGCTGAAAACCATAATCTATAGTTGCACTACTCTTTGAATTTTTAAAATCATAGAAGAACCTTGAATATTTTTAATAAGGCTTGGGATATCTTCATGTTGAATACCATCATCTGAGAGTTGAGAAGTCAAACCACTAATGATCCTTGAAACCAAAATCTTCACTTGAAACTCATTTGACCATGATGTTGAATTTAAATAGGTGTCTTGATCTTTAAGAGAATATCTTGATTCAGAAGGATATCTTGATCAACAATCTTGTGCATCTTTGATTACTTGAGCCGTCTTCAGCATTTGCTCGACTTCAAGTATTGTCATCATCAAAAGTGAATTATCTTGCAAATTTTCTATCCATAAGCTTCACCATCTTGGAACACTTTGACTATACCTGCAAGTACATAGATCCACAATCTCTATGTAGTGTTTCTTATAATTTTTCAATGTTTCCCTAGAAGATGCGACACCATCAACGAAGCCTAAGATTTCCTAGAAAACCACAAGTCTCTTCTTCAAATAAGTATCCTCTTGGAATATAATGTATGAAAGATAAACAAAGTTTCATCGCCGACCAAGAAATGATTTCAACTCTAGAATTTTTGAAACCTCCTAGAACATTCGAAAGTACATCAATTTGACATCATATATTCTAGCATGGGCAACATTAGAGAGGGGAGTGACTAGGAAGTACCAAACTTTTATATTCTTCACACTATCATAATAGACCTCAAACATCTTCTAACATTTCCTAAGAGAAATTAAACCCTTAAACCTAGTCTGAGTCGGCCGTTCGAAGTTGGACGTTGATGAGGTTGGAAAAGAGCTTCAAGGTTGGTGCGCTTTTCTTATACTCACACCAATACTAGAATAATTTTACATAGGCCCAAATCACAAGATGAAATTTCAAGGAGGAAACACCCTAATGATTAAGAACTCATACGTTAAACTCATTGAAAGGGTGAAAATAGCCTATAAAAGAAAACATGTATTTATGAATAAGGATAACTCACCCCTCATGCTTACTGCATATCCTCTTATCTACTTTAGGAGAGTGTACACGCAAGTCCGAAGAGGAAGTCACCTAGGTGAAATCATGATCTAGATCACCCTCACGTGTAAAGATAAATGTTGTGTCCAACGTTTCCTGATATATCCATGCCACCAAGATATCCTCTTTTGCATTTTGGATTTCCTAACAAGCATGACGGTCAATCGTTGGGTTACTTTCAACACACAAAAATAAAGATTGTAAGTATAAGCTCAAGATTGAGATTCTAACCACCACATTACTTTAGTGTCAATGGGGTCGCAACCTAAAACACGACAATGCATTTTGATTTAAGTTTGGGATTTGCGTTTCCGCTTAAATTCATCCACATCAGTCGGATTTATCAGTGGTAAAGCAGGAAAAGCAAAACCTCTAGCAACCTCTCTGAGATCGAGGCTACCAATCTTCCTTCCATCTCTAATTGAAACAGTTTCCTCTAAATCTTCCATAACCATTATCCTAGAAAACCCCAGCAAAGGGTTAACCAATACATAAGATAAACAGACTTTATTCGTTACCTCAAAAGAAGTGATCATGATAGATAATGTAAATAAAGCCCCAAGAAAGTCACCATAAAGATGTCTGAGCAACAATCAACTGAAATTGTTTATAGAGACTAGAAAAACGTGCAAAAAGCGAAGAAAGGATTCCCAGACCTCAAGAGTGACAAAAAAGGGAAAAGTCATCTTTCTTCCCCATATATAGTCTGAGTGCAATTGTAGCACAATCAATGTTGGATAGCATAAAAAATGATAACATTGCCACCAATGGTAAGGATCTCGCCTCGATCTAATCAAACACTTAATTACTATAGAAAATACGGTTGTCATCACTATTTAACCTATAACCACATGTTAAGTTTATCCCACGATGCGTAACAGCCCATTCAATGTGCATGCTCACAATGCAACCAAATAATCCTTGAAGCCTTTCCACTTCCTCTTACATGAGTTCAGTTAAAAAACTAGTGGACGGTCAAAGGTAGCCTGAATCACACATCTCTTACTTCAACATGTAGTAACAAGGGTTTCGAGGAAAACTATTTTGAGTTGTTTGCATAACCCACTTACAATGGGCCAATATCACGAGGCCCAATATAGAAGGCGAAAACAACAAGAAGAGACAAGGGAGACCTCAACCAAACACGAAGCATACGATCACGAAATCTGGCCTATATCCCACTGTCAGATTCAATCAAAAGATGATATGCACAATGTGTCAGGTTAAGCGATAGTAGTTTAATTGTTGGCCCTATTAAGCTCCAAATGTTCTAGTTTCAAATGTCTTTTTCCATTTTTCCTCCAAGTTGCTTCTTGAATACTTCACTGAATTAGACGGTAAAGTGTTAATCTTGTAAATTATCCTTACTCCAATGTATCTGAAGCACTCGCCCAGGGGTGTACATGGGCTGATTTGGGCTGGGTTTGGCCAAACCCAATACCCAACCCATATAAGGCACTCCGGTTTGGGTGCGTTAAAATAACCCCCCCCACTACACCAATGGGTCGGATCAGGCAAACCCACTAATTTCTGGATTGGATTGGGTTGGATAGTGGATTTGCACAAATGATTTTTCTATTTTATTAATATTAAATTACTAAATGACGAGTCATCATATTTTTTATAAAAATTATTCAACATTTTTATATTCTTAAAAAAAAACTAAATAACCTATTTTTACAATTTTTTTATTATCATAAAATAATAAATGATAACATCAACTAATAAAAGTTATCATAAAATACTAGCAACACACTAAAGTTGCATGACATAAAATCGTATTAGCATCCAAATAATTAAAGAGAAATATTCAAAATTAGTTAAAGTCATGGTTCACTAAAATAGTAAATATTTAAGAGACTAAAATAGAATTTAATATTCATCAAAATCATTAAAATTGTAATAATAAATGTTTGATTAGTGGCTCAGTGGGTTGCTTGGGTGTGAGTATGGTTTTATCCACAACTCGATATTTTTAATGGATTTTTTACTTTTTAAACTCATATCCACATAATTACCCGGCCCAACCCACTTTCTTAGATTTTTTGGGTGGATTTGATCGGGTTTTGTGGGTTGACCCAATTCATATACACCCCTACACTCGCCCACTCGCCACTTTATTAAGAGATCTTGTTGGTTGGGTAGAATGGTGTCTTTCTAGAAGTCTAGTTGGTTGGGGAATTGATTTTTAGCAGAGCAATTTCTAGCTTTGTATCATGAAATCTCAAATAAACTTGATATTGTTAGTAGTATGACAATTGAAATAACGACGTGTGATCTTGGAACATTATTCAAAGGGACGAAGTGTTGGGTTTGTAGGCGTTGAGAGAGTGTCGTGAGTTGGAAGAGGTGATGTTTGTATTCTCATGCAGGAGCAAGGCGAGGCTGATATCGAGGATAGGCAAAAACGTGCTCTCAAAATTATCGGGGATCTTGATGTCCGTCTAAAATTAAGATTTTCGGGTGGAGACTCGTTTCAGATAGACTCCCTACGAGGAATCAACTCTTATAAAGAGGGATTATAACACAGTCACGGGATGCAACCTACGTTTTCTGCAATCAAATTGACGAGGATATTGTTCACCTTATGTCGCATTGTTCCATATTGAAGTTGTTGTGGCAGAAGATCCAAGGTTGGTTGGATATACAAATTCCAAATGTGGATAATTGTTGCAGTCACTTGATAAAAAGTGTGGAAGAATTGAGGCGTAAGATGTCAAATAATAGGTCCGGAGTTGTGTTGTTGATAATCTGTTGGTGTATTTAGAATCAGTGAAATAACATAATTTTTAACAATGTAGAACTCGACATTGATGAAATCTTTTTTAAGACTTTGTGGTTTTCTTGGTGGTGACTAATTATAGATTCCAAGGATAGAATCTTGTGTAATTTCTATAAATGGTTTAAAAATCCTACTTTATGTTTGTGATTTCCTAACTGAATTTGTATTTTGATCTCTTAATCTTTCTTGTAAAAAAATAAAGTTTCTTATTATTCCTTGATTCCGGTACAAAGCATAATGGAATTTTTTTTATTAAAAGTAATAGTCTTCCTTATTTATGTTTTTAATAATATTTCCTTTTGAATTTCCGGTTTCTTTTGGTTTATTGCATAACTTTTTCTTCACCGTAATTTTATTCTATTTAATTAAAAATTTTAAAGCTTTTTGACAAATTAGTTGTTGTTATGTGGTACTTCTATAAACTAATTTTTTTCATTTAAAAAAAAACTGTACTAAAACCCATTTATTTTGCATATAGAAATCCTTGTATTATTAAATTACCACACAACACAAGTAATCCAAAATAGCATTACAAGATAAGTTGCTTAGAGAAACCTATAGGTCTCAAAAGGATTGAGGTATTATTCTTTCTCCAACCACTACATGGCTGAAGATAAAGCTTCTTTGACTGGGTAACCAACCGCAGCATTGATTGCACATACTCCATAAGGCCATTCCTTAATAACATTCCTCTTGATAAACAAGTAACCTTTCACTCCCCAATCTTTTCCCCATGTGTTTTTCACAATCCAATAATCTTCACCATCCACAGAATCATAGCCCACTATTATACCCACGAGAGATGCATTCCTTGAATTTTTTTTGCAGTTCTCTCCACCATATACTCCCTGTTTTATTCAAAGCAAAAGAAAAATCCATTACTACAATTCATCACACAAATAACCATCTTTGAGGATCTGCAAAATGGGTTATAGCACGTGACTTCAAATTTGTTACAGTTAAACTGTGGTTAAATAAAACTCTATAACATATTTTGCAGAGTTAAATCATGATTAAATGAAATCTCTAATTATTTTATTACGATTAAATTGTGGCTAACTTATATATTAGTCATAAACAATTCTTACTCCAGCATAGAATTGAAGGCCAGTTGCATCGAGGCTCACTATAACAGGTTGTTTACTAGTGCGACACAACAAGGCTTCTTCTGATCCATCCAAAACATAAAGGTTGTCAACACTAACAACCTTGTTTGCATTTTCCTTCAAAAAAAAAAGAAAGAATATTACACACATAATTTGATGGTTCAAGAAGCTAACATCTTTGAAAAGGAACCAACAAATGCAAACAATACCTTGCAAGTACCATTTTTAGCTGTATAAGGATAATTAGCTTCTGTGTCAATTCCACCATTGTTAATAACCCAACCAAATGCATTAAAGTAAAAACCACCAGCACAACCGCGGCTAGCAGGGTCACAGTCCATAATTTCTTGTGCAGATAAGTCGATAAGATTCCCAGTCACTATTTTGTTTAATCCTTCAATGGTCCCAGCGACAGAGAAAGCCCAATGGCTCTCTAAAAAGAATAATATCTTTAGTTATTACATCAAAAAATTGAAAATTTAATAGTAAGATAAGGTAAGATCTTACGACAGTTTCCTTGGTCCTTAACTTCGGTCACAGCTCCTTTTTCTCTCCAATCTACAGAAGCTGGAAGGTTATCACAGTCGTCGTCTTCGTCTTTAAGCTTTCTATCACCATAGTTGGAGTTTGAGGGTATTTCTTGTAAGTAGGTTTTACTGAACTCTTCAGGACTCATATCAGCAAACTTGTTGAGACTCAAACGATGTTGACTTGGTGATTTTCTCTTTGCATTCATCTCATTGATATGCTTAAGATTACTTTTGAATGTCTCAAATCTCTTTGCTTCTTCCTCTAAGTTTTCATACTCTTTCCCGTGTTCTTTCTTCCATAGTTGGAAGAGTTCAAGCACTTGTTCATCAGAAGAGGAAAACTTGTCCAAGTTGGTATTGCTTGAAAGTGAGTATTCACTAGATAAGGCAAATGAGAGAGAGGTCATGGAAATGAAGATGAAGAAAGACAGAAACAACTTTGTCTTCTGAGATATCATCATTACACAAAATGAGTTATCAATGTTTGATGTTTTGGGTTACCACTCTTGTAGTATAACTCTCACTATCTTATATACATACAACGAATTGAGGCAAGAGGAATTTAAAAAAAAATTAAAATAGTAAGAGAATCTTCATATATGTATGGTGGTTATAGGTGTGTCATTATTTTTGTCTTCTTTTCTACTGTGGTCCTATGAATCATTAGAGAGGACAAATTATATAGTGATTATTTTCGTCGTGCATGGTGTCCACAATTGATTATATTATACAAAATTTATTTACACGAGTTTCATGCATATACAATTCAAGGGAGGGAGGGAGGGAGGTCGTAGCCAGGGATTTACTTTTCGGTGGGAAAGTATCCGCCTAATGACATATATAAAATATGCTTAATGTAGTTGAAAGTTGAATTTAGTTAAAATTGTTATTCCAATCAAAGAATTAGAAATAGATAATGAAGTGATAAATTGAAGCTCAAATGCAACAAATTATTCTTTTGTGGTGGATCGAACTTTGTGGAGGGAGGTAAATTTGTAAGATTAGCATTCAAATGCACATGTAAGTTAATGAATGAAAGGTGGTTTTAGAATAGAAATGAATTTGAATATGTAAGTTAATGAATGAAAGGTGGTTTTAGAATAGAAATGAATTGAATAATTGAAATAAGGTGAAGTGATATTTATATGTTATGGGTGACTAAAATCATATACATATGATTTTGGTGTCTTGTGTGGATTGTCTTTTGACTAGATTCAACTGTGAGAGATATGATAAAGAGTATGAACGTATGTTTTTGACAGGGGCAGGGGCCCACCAATTCGATGCACCTTCTTCCTCAACACTTGTTATTTGATCTTCTTTGTGAGTCCTGCAGGAGGTCTAGAGAGTTGCCCCCAAACTCTTGTTCATTCATCATATAATTAGGGCTTTACCTAGTTCGTCTTCTGTTTGACTTCTGGTAGAAAGAAATAGAAGAGCCTTGGTAAGTTAACATGATTAAAAAACTATTTTTTATGACAACTATTTCATCTCACATATTTTAAAACTGAGGTATATATTGTGTACGCGCCATATTTTTTTTCTTAAAAAAATATATACTATATTCCATCAGTTTTTTTAAAAACCAAGGGGTTAACTAATTCAACATACATGTTTTGAATCTCAGCCGCAACAAATTATATTTTTTTGTCACTAAAAGTGGTGTCTTATTGGATATTTTATTTTTAATCTAAAAATAAGTTATTTTTCACCTCAGTTTGTTTTTCAACCAAGGTGAAATTGTTTCTCTGGTATATAAGGCTTTAGGTTGTTGCTTTCAGTCTCACTTGTCTAAACCCTATAGAAGAGCTGAGATAGAGCCAACAAGAGAACCATAAACAACGAGTGTCATAAACAAATATCATCTTCAATACAAAGAATATATGTTTTTAGGGCTCTCGCTTCTTCAGAGATCCAAAATATTTTCTCTCGCTTCTTCTTTAGAGATTTGGTTGGTCAAACATCACAACTCATTTTGTTGTTGTTGTTGAGACCTAGTTTTGTTGAGAGATTGATATTGATATTGATACTCAGACTATGTTTTTTGTGCAAATCTCATATTGTTCCGTCTAGTTGAGTTTATTATATCTAATGTCTGTTGTTTGTTTCACTAACCCCTCTTTGAACATATAACATGTTAAATTTATTTTGGAAATAATCATATGTAAATTATGTTATATTGAAACATATCTTACACCGATTACTATTTTTCTAACATTCTGTAACTCATCATTTATCTCATATTTTTCATCATTAAAATCTCTCAAATACTTATTTTCATTCAACTTTCTTTCATATTTGTTCAATTTTCAAAGCGTGAAAGTTTATTCTTTCAAGAATGAATTAGTATAAAAGGAAGTGTTAAATAAAGAATTTGAAACATTGAAGAGGTTTTAACCATAAAAAAGCGTGAGGTGAATGATGAGTTAGAGGATGCTAGAAAATCATTTATTAATGAAAGTTGTTCTTCATATATAACACAATTGTTCATATAATTAATTTTCCTAACCAATTTTGATAAGTTATATATTCAGTTAGGGTAAAATAAGCAATCCATATTAAATATAATAAATTCAATCTTATTTAACTCGTCTATTAAATGCCAAAAACAAGAGCAAAAGTAGTGCATTTATTTTTAATTTATTTTTTATTTGTAAATTAAATGATGTACTCATTCAATTTTATTAATAACCAAAAGGTATGTCCCTATTTTATTTTATTTTTTATTAAAAAGGAAATAACATTTCCCCTCGGTATTAGTCAAAAACTGAGGGCAATACTTTAACCATTTGATTCATAAAATAACCTAGAACCTATCTATGACATGCATTCATAAAGTAACAATGCTCATGATATTTCCAACACATCAATCCCCAAGAAAACATTTACACCAATAAGAATGCAAACACCACCACTATATATTGGACGCTATCTTGTGAAACCCTCCACATCCAATTAGTACGCCAACACCACCATAACTTGCCATTTAAGAAACAATAGGTATGTAATATTTGTCTTTGGGATAAATTGCAAGTGCAGACAAAAAGTGGATCCAAGTTGTTGTTCTTACATAATATCTTATCTTTTTACTAGAATAAAATTTTATGTTATGTTTCTAACTTTTTAATGCTATTTAAGGAATGTGATCCGTATAAAATCATTGAATTTGAACAGTAATGGATAGGCAACAAAATTTGGATTTATTTAAAGTGATGACGTTGAATCATATTTGTCAAAAATTTGTACTCGTCGATTGGAAATATTTGTAGTTTAATTTATGTGTAAATAATGTAATTTAATATTTTGTATAAACAATGTAATTTTTTTTTAAATAACTTTTCCCCTCAGTATTTAGATAGAAACCGATAGGTATGTGGCGCTGGTTTTGAAAATATAAAAATATTGTTGTGGATCAAACCAATAACATTTTCAACTATCCCCTCGGTTTCTGAATAACCGAGGGGTAAAGTGGCAAGTTTTCATTATGTCATTTATCATCTCCCCTCTGTAACCAAGGTTAAAACCCCTTCACGTCTGTTGGATAGGATTTTCACAAAGGGTTAAAATCCAACCAAAAGACAAAAAGGTTATTTGAGAATTTTGAATTATAGGAAGTTAACTATAGAAGCAGTCGACCAGGAGAGATTTCACAAATAGTCAATTGGACTTGTGGATGCAGTCGACCAGAAAAGAGGCCTCGTGAGAAACGGACTGGGCCCAGGAGTGTTAAAAATCCCAAAGAGTGCATAACTAGGAAAGTAAAGTGTTATAAGTGGAGAACATGGGTTCAATAGCAAGAATGGAGAACGTGGGTTCATTGAGGGAAGTTACAAGAGACATGTGGCTTATGAAGAAGCCAAACCCGCTGAAAAGTAGTTTTTTTGTATTATAAATAAAGCACTTAGTGCATAGAGTCATAGGTTGAGAATTTCACATTCCCACACGCTAGTCACTCAGAGTACCCAAGCGAATGAGCGAAATGAGTCAAGCTAGGGAAATGAACTTTTGAATAAACCCATTTTCAACTATTTTGATGTTATATCATCTTTTTTTACAGTTTAAAACATATTTTGTTTCATTTTACAAGTCCTGCTATATTGCTTTTAAATTCGTTTCGCCTTAGTCGAATAAACCCTTTTGAACATACTTTGTGAAAAACACTCGAAAACTGAAGCAATGTACTAAGATTCCATGATCGATCTCGCCAGTAAACTTTTTGTTAAGAGACCAATGCTGTTTTCCAAAACCATAGGTAAATAAATTGGCACACCCAGTGGGACAGTGCTAATAATTTCGTATTTTGTGTGTGATTTTACAAAGTTTCTTATAGTTAGTTTGTGTGTGTATGAATTTAAGAAGTGGTAAAATTTTTTCCAAGTCTAGAATGCCACGTTCTGACACAAACACTGCACATATGCAGATTTCTACATAAAAGGTGGAAGTAATACCAGTGAGTATTACAACTCAAAGCGTGATAGTTTTATCTCCTGTGAAATCGACCGTTGTTCATGGTTCAGTGACAACCGTTACAATGACATAACCTAGGCATGGGATATCACCATTTAACCCAAATCGACCACTCTTTCCAAGGGGTCCAGGGTCACCATTTGTCCCTTACCAATATGGTATGCCTTATTCCATGATGGTTGGGTTTCCGTCGAACTCGGCTTGGTTGATCAGATTTTTGAAGTCATAACTGGCTGTAGCAGAGTCGTTATCAATGGGATCCAGAGTGAATATGGGTCTGCATTATGATACGTGAGTGTGTGTAAGAGAATAGCTGTTTTTGATAAAGCGAGAGACAGAAAAATAAAAACAAGGAGCGCAAAATTTGTAATGCAAGAAACATCTAATGTTTTATTAATGATATATGAAATGACAAATAATAAGCCCTGACAAGCAAAGCCAAGGTGCCTCGGGCAAGGCACCGGGCCATAAAGTTTCAAACTATTTATTACAAGTCTTAAAACAAAAGTTAATTACTGTGGAATAAAAGAAACAGGTATGAAGTCCTTCACCGTCCAGTTGTTTAATCCAACATTGGTTGTAGGGTAGATCTAATTGTTGATGTCTGAATCTTCTTCACCATCTTCAACCGCGTTAACTCCCTGATTGCTGATGTGCATAAGAGATATTCCAATTCGTGCACGCCTAACAGCCCTTTGAGCGCCATTAATAAAGCCCAAACCAAATTTGTCAGTTTTGTGCGTGAAATCAGGGAGCTGACCCCAATTTGTGCGCCCATCTTCTTCAATTACAGCATTGGCATCCTTGAGAGAAGCCATCTTCATCGGAGGTTTATCGGTAGCAACTTTAGTTAATGCCAAAGTATGAGGGACCTCTTCAAAGTTCTGACAAGGGGTTTCGATGAACTCCCCATCCATCTCCATGTAGAGAAAGGAATTGAGATGACTCACCATATACTCCTCTTCACCTCGTACCGTTACAATCTTTCCTTTCA